GAATCCGAAGCAGGCTCCAGGCTCTGAGCTGTCAGCACAGAGCCCAATGCGGGGCTCGAACCCACAAACCTCAAGATCATGACCTGAGCCGAAGTCGGACGGTTAACCCACTGAGCCACCCAGGTGTGCCCCAAGGCACTCTGAGATGTTATGATTACAACCAGTATCTAAAATTGATCTGTTCTAATTAATATTCAAGGACCATAGTTAAGTTATTTTCTAAGTTAAATGACAAAGTTGCTAAACTTCTGTTTTTCCCCACCATATACACCATCAGATTTTCATTAAGAGATACTGCTCTACCTTTGGGGGCTGATTTCAAGTTCTTGGTCACACGTTGACTTTACACAGTTCAGATCTGGCAGAATCTTGGTGGACCACCAACACTAAAAGTTCAGTCAAAGCCTTGCAAAAACCAACTCAAGAGATAAATCCATAAGCCTGTTTCAGGAGTTAAAAGATGATGTGACAGACACAGACTGTGACTTTGAGCTGCCATAACCCCAACTATGAAAATAGTTTGACTTGAGAAACTGGAAAATACTACTTCTGCAAAGGATCACCTGGGTGTTGGGCTAGGAACCCTATTCAAGGAGAAATAGTCAAGGGAAAGGGTCTCTTTGGGTTGTGGTTTGACCCAGCTGTGTCTGTAGTTTTTTTGCAGCTTGTTGACAATCTGATCATTTGGCTCTTATCCAAGACTTTTTATAGCTTTCTCAAAGAAATACCTGTTTTTGTAAGAATGGTAAGGAGTGTCCAAATCTGATAGTATTCTAGGCTTCGTGACTTAGATAGAGAACCAGAAAACTCTCTTGCATGTCTAGTATACAAATCAGACAGATCATTCAGTTTAAAGGTTAAATATATATGTTGCTCAGCTGCATAGTATAATTAGATTTATAGAATCACCTCTAAGATTTCTACATGGGTCACAGGATACTCCCAAGCTGTTAAAATGTGCTGAGTGTCACCTGTCTGGAAAAGGAATGGCTACATCTTCTTTCTGATCACTTTTTCTTCCCCAGTTTTAAGCTGTCAGTGCAACTTACTCCACTAAGAGATATAAAGAATTGCCATTTTGGACAGCAGAAGGATGACATTTTATGTTGTGGGAGAGAGTCTTTTCTCTGTATTTCCCTTATTTATGTGTCTTTAAGTTAAATCCGTGATCGTCCATAAAGAAAAATTGACGGTAAAGTCTTGTGTAATCCAAATTCTTTTTCTGTGCTATTATCTACTCCAGTCTTTGTTTGACTGCTATTAAGTGAGAGCAGATTTTTCTGAATAGACCACCGTTGTGGGAAAGTCAACTTGAATAGCTATGCACAAAGGAAGTCCTACCATAAGTGGTAAGCAGTGGAAGCAGATTCAAAAACGCACTGTATATTTTCCACGTTATCAGGTTTTTAAAAAATTCAACATGTCGTAATCTATCGAGTCCCCGATTAGTTTTCCTCACTGTTTTGTGGGTTCCTGAAACTAATTCTGGATATACTTGACACGGTGGGGGCTTCACGAGGAGAGAAAGAGCAATACTTTTATCGTTTAAACATTTTTTAGATGTGCCTGTATTCTATAGTAGGTTTTCCATCTCAAATATGACTTAGGAGTGATGTCAATTAAATTTGTGTTCTTCTCACAGCGGTATCCCTAATCTGCTGCATAAGAACAGTGTGGGGATAGTTTTCCATGGATGGATGCTAATATTAAGGAGTATATTAAATCTCCAAAGTACAGGTGGCAGTTTCATCTGGAAGTCTTGAATAACTACTTATAATATTTATCTTTTAGGCTTCTTGAAAAGCATTTGTGGTGTTCATAGTGTCAAGGCATCCAGCATGATGAAAACACCAAGGGCAGAATGTAACATCTGCACTCAGCTTGTTACAGTTTGAAAGCTTTTCCCCCCAAGATTCTAAAATTTGCTGTGGGCAAATTTTTTTTTAGAAGAAAACCTACAAAGTGTATCTTTGCAATCAAAGCATTATACATTACCTTTATGGCAAAAGAAAGTAAATAAAAGAAAACTTAAAGCATTTGAAAAATATCAAAGGGGCAGAGCTCTCAATTCAATGTTGTATAACCAGCACATCCTTTTTCACAGAAAATTATAATTGCACAAAGTATATCTTGTGCATGAAAGTATATCATATAATATTTAGCACCATTTTATTCTGAAATGATTTGAGACTTGCAGAAAAGTTGCAAAAAAAACAGTGTAAAAAAATTCCCTTATACCTTTTACCCAGTTTCCCCTATTTTACTGTACTGGCTTTAATATCTTTCTTTTCTTCTTTTCTTCCCTCCTTTTTTTTCCCCCTGTTATACGTATTTTTTGCCATCCATTTGAGAGTAAGTCGCATACGCGATGCCCTTTGACCCTAAAGATTTTAGTGTGTATTAACTGAGACCAAGGACATTCTCTTATATAACTATAGTACAAGTACCAAACTCAGGACATTAACAGTATTTAACTCACAGACCTCATTCAAATTCCTCATGTTGCCCCAGTAATAGTTTACAACGTAATATAACAATATACATTATTTGAATATTTGGGATCCTAACAAATGTTGAAGGATCCATCAATTTTCTCCTACAATTAGTATTTTTTAAAAGCAGCAGCAAAAGCAACAGAACACGCTGTAAAGGTATGAAAATTCTTCATCAAATTGGGGAAAAAATCCAGCATAAAGATGGTTTTCAAGTCACAACCGAGTGTTTTCTTCAGTATATTTCTTTTTCAAACGATCAGTGAATGTTTGCAGTTGGTAATAAATATTCAAGCACCTTGCACATGTCCTACCAACTCTCTTTGCTGATCTGTATATGCCTGTGGGATTAGAATAGGAATGCATAATTTAAATATAAATTGCCTGATTTGCATACACAATTAGTCAAGCTACAGCTTTGATCGTAAGCAAAAATTATTGTCCTGTATTACCACTTAGATAGAATTTTAATTCACCTTGAATATTCAAACTAAATTAGACCCTGGCTGTATAGTTAGAAGGGCAGTACTTCCCTGGTCCCCCAGGTCGTTTACGGTAGAGTAATAAAGGCATCTTTTCACCTCCTGGTGAAGAACGTAATTCCAACTCTGTGCAGTGCTCTGTTTCTGTCCAGATTTTAAATGGCATCTCTCTTAAAGCAACCAACAAAGGCTTAGCATATTTTAGTTAATATTTCCGGTCTGGATTGTTCCCTTATATTTTAGTTTGTAAAAACATAGGAGACAGTAAACTGCAAGTGAAAGGACTTCAGATATAATGTTGTTAAAGGGACAGAAGCTACGAAAGTCATGACAGCTAATTAATAGTGGAAGGCTTTTGATGATCCTCACGTCCTGGACTGTAGATGTGTGGAATAAACCACAGACGTGTAAGAAACCATAGGAGTATTTGCATCTCTTACATTTTTAATCTACAGTAAAACATTTTTATTAGGAATCTATGTTTTTAATTAAACAGAACATTTAATTAAGGTGCTTTTTAAGTGGGTGAAACAATTAAGTGCAAACACTTGAATGAAACATGTCATAATTAGTTTTAATAGAGTGTTAATTGGTACTAGGTTTGCCAAGTTAATAATTACTGCTTATTAAATTTTCAATTAATCATTGTCATTTTGCTTTGAATAAAGATGAAAATTAGATAAACTAATTTAGGGGGAGGATATTTTCCCTTGTTAATTAGAACAGTTAATTTTTTTTAATGGAAATTACTTGTTTTAGTTGTCAATCTCATATTGTACATTAGTCAAATCTTTGCACCCTTTCCACAGCCAAAAATAAAGAGCTCATTTGACACCTTGCAGGTTTCCAGGCAGGCCTGATTGTTTTGGCCTCTGGTAGGGTTCAATTACATTTGTCTAGTGCAACAGTTGGTTATGTGAAACTGTGTATGTGTTCAATTGAATAGGTGGACAACGGCTTAAAATATGGAAATGAGGAAATGATTTTTAAAAATCCCTATCATTCAGTCTGTACAGACATATATCCACATTACTCAAGAAATGACTTAAGAAAAAGAGAAGCTGGATCATCTGTTTCATCATGGATTGTCTTTACAGGGTCTACACTGTTCAGTTGCCATCTGAATGCCCTTTCACTACTGTGCTGTATGTTTCACCAGCACAATAATTGTTAGCACTTACACGTGTAGATGCGTAAAGTCCATCCCCTTCCTATTTTTGTTTTGAAAGCTTTACTCATGCGCTCCCTACGTGCATATTACCCCATAGCATTGTGGCAAACCACCTTAATATAGATGTCCGAATTATCCAGAAAGGTTTCTTGTGGTCGTTTTGTCCTTTAACTCTTTACGTTTGGTGTCATAATCATTTCTGGAGGTACTGGTTTGGTAGAAAAGTGGTAGTGATGCTACATTAGTTTAAAAAATATTCCCAGACAAGTTAAAGGGGAAAACAAAAAATCTCACTCTTTGTTTTCCTAAATGAATTTCCAAAATCTGCTGTCTTTTTAGACAGTCAGGAGAACTGCCCAATACCTGGGATGAGAGTCATGCCTGTAGACTATAGAATTCTGTTTACCAGCGATCAGTATCCAAGGTCCCGCGCTAACAGGGAAATCTTCTCTTGTCCCGTGTGGCCTGCCCCGCACGCAGAGGAGGCGGTCAACGAGGTGAAGCGCCAGGCGATGACCGAGCTGCAGAAGGCCGTGTCTGAGGCCGAGCGGAAAGCCCACGACATGATCACCACCGAGCGCGCCAAGATGGAGCGCACGGTGGCTGAGGCCAAGCGGCAGGCGGCGGAGGACGCGCTGGCCGTCATCAATCAGCAGGAGGATTCGAGCGAGGTGAGGTGCTAGGGGGAGCTTCCAAGGCACGCAGGGCGTTTCCGCTAGTCCGAGCGCTTGCTTTTGATTCCAGGAGGTCACAAGTAAAAGCGGGCACTGGCTTTTAGACAAACCGATCTGCAGGGGCAAAATGAGAATAATCTGGGTGGGGGCGGGAGGGGTGGGGCGTCCCAGCACTTGTGGAATCCATCAAGAGCTGATCAAATGTTGTCTAAAAGCACAACTCTGCCAAGAAAAGGTTTTTAATATATTCGGTGGGTAATAGATTCAAGTGAAATTCTCATAGCTTCTTAGCACTCGGCTGTGGGCACACGTGTATGTCAGTGTGTGTGTGTGTGTGTGTGTGTGTGTGCACGCGCGTGTGTGTGTGTGTGTGTTTGGTTTCCTTCTAATACAAGGGGTTTAATAGAGACGTCCTCTGCAAACGTGCTCTCCCAAGATATGACATGGCTGGGATCACAGCCACCCCCTTAACCATTGGTCCTAAAGTCCAGTGCGAAAACAGCACCTGCCTCAATTCAACGTTTCTGAGAGATCTTCTTTCTGCATGATCTGTTTCTCCCCTTATTTGTAATAACCATTATGCGAGTCATTTCATAGCATAACATCACAGTCGTCACAATATCATTTGGTATTATTTCAGCATATTAAAACACACACACGCACACATAGCCCAAATGGCTCAAGGATCTGGGAAGTAACTAACACACAGTACCTAACAACGCTATTTAAAATAGAGCCCGTAACATCAGAACAACGTAGTGATGCTTCGCATTAATGAATGCAGTGCCACAATCCCCGCCACCCCGCAGTAACTTGAGATAAAGGGCTGTAGTGAGCTAGTCTCACCAAGCTGAACTAGCAAGAGCATCAACTGATAAATCAATGGTCTACTACAATACATATCTATAATTTGTGAGGGAGAGTAAGAATTTAATTTGTACCAGGCTTCTCTGTAGATGAAAGACCCTGCGGGAATCACTCCATGCCCAGAGTTTCTATTTAATGTGTAGCAGATGAATAACAAGGGGACAAAAGGAATTGATTTTCAACATTTGAAAGTTTCTCAGGAAAAGAGGGACAAAGAGAAGTTTATCTACCCTTTAACTGCTGACTTTTCCGTTGTCGAATTAAGCTAGACATAAATTCAATTTTATTTGGCATCTTGTGGCTAAGATATTTAAGGATCTTGTTTTGTGTGTGTGTGTGTGTGTGTGTGTGTGTGTGTGTGTGTGTGTGTGTGTTTTAAATGTCTATTAACATGTTTTGGAGAGAATTTGTCCTGCTCCATTTAAGTTAGTAATACCGTGAAGCATGGTTGGTGCCTTCCCTAAAACATTATCACTTTCACAAGGACACATTAGGGTGGTTATGTATGGTAAGAGTATTTTGTAGGCCACTAAATTCTAAAGGTAAATGTTTAAGAAGAAATTGAGAACTAAGTTTTTATTTGGCAAATAACAATGCTGTATTTCTTTAGTGTCTAAGAGCTTTGTGCTTTCATTCCTAATACTTACCCAGAAAAATATGTGATCTAGACGCTAACATTTAGCATTATAAGACTATGGCTGGGCGCCTGGTGGCTCAGTCAGTGAAGCGTGTGACTCTTGGTTTTGAACCAAGTCATGATCTCACAGCTTGTGGGTTCGAGCCCCGCTTTGGGCTCTGCGCTGACGGTGCAGAGCTTGCTTGGGATTTCTCCTTCTATCTCTCTCTCTACCCCCACCCAGCTTGTGTGCTCATGCGCCCTCTCTCAGAAAATGAATAAATAAACATTTAAAAAATTATGGCGTATCGGCCAGTAGCTGTAAGTAGTAGATAGGATAGAATACCCTGGATATGAATGATCTTCTGTAGCAGTTGTTTTTTTCTTTCTTTCTTTTTGGATCTCTTAGGAAACTTTAATCTAGAACTGTCTTTAATCTGCAATATAGCACTACCCTTGTCTTAAGCGACATGTTGCCAAGGGTTTCAAGGTAGACTCTGCTAGGAGAAAGGGCTTGAAATTCAGAAGACCAAATATAACTTCTGGCCCTATCTCTTACAATTCTGTGACTTTGAGAAAGCCACCAAGCATCTAAAAGCTTTGGTCTTCTTACCGTGTTGTCACTATGAATGAAAGTGTCTCCTAACAGTGGCCAGAACCTTGAGACATGATCATTTTATCATCTTGCCGGTGAGGAAAGTCACCTGACATGGCTAGGACACGGCAGAAACAAAGCTGGAACTCGTAGCATGCTGTCAGTCCTTATGGTGTTCCATAGCTACAACAAGGATCTTTCCATAAGGACCAGTAAGGTCATTTTTGGATGCAGATAACCTGAAAGGCAACTTAGGTCTGATTTCTTCTTTTTAACCTGCTGTACCTCTTTCAAGACTTGGAGTGGGACGGAGGGCTTGATCCCTCGAATAATTGAGTTTCTTTTCTTCGAAAGCAATGTAAACACAGTCCTGAGAATAGCAGAGCAAAAGATGGAAGAGAGATCCATTGGAATGAAGCTGAGACCCCTTTAGACTTGGACAGGAGTCTATAAGATAAAGATGGTTCGACCAAGGACTTGACAGAGAAGTAAAGGTTAATCCAGTAGCCCTAAATTAATGTTATGAATTCTCCTGAGGAATGACAATGTCCAAGAACAGTCTAAGTGCCTGGTGCTAAGTTTAGGCAGCTCTATCTTTTGCCCACATTTATAGGTAAATATTTTTATTTCCCCCCTCAGAAATCCTTCTACTTTATGAGGGGGACAAAACTTTGAATCCAGCATGTTATTTTTCTCGACCCTGCCCTTCCCTCACACTGAGCAATATACACCTTTTCATAGAAATGACCTGATAGAAGCCACCCCAGAAGTGATGTTTGCAAATCACCTCAAGTTTAGAAAGTTCCCTGAGCCCCTCTGGGACTGAGCCAAAACAACTTTGGCTTCCTTGGGCTAGAGTAGAGCTCCCTATTCCAGCATTCAATACAGTTGGCCCCAGGGTGGGAATCTGTTAGGCCGGGACTGCGTGGCCCAGCTGATTTGCAAAGACAGTACAGGTACTTCTCAGAATTCTTTTCTGTTGTTCTAGGCAGGGGGTTTTCTTGAGTTTTAGCCACTCAACCCTAAATAAGACCCACATAGTATTGTGTTTTAGAAGTTTGATAAGTTGTTCTTTGTTTTCTTAGAAAAGAACGTAAGAGGTCTGGCCACCATAGTAATTGGTTGGAAAAAGAACATACTCCCATTAAATGTAGGAAACATTGATTTAGAAACTGCACTAAGAAATTAATGGGCATTTGTTGGAAAAAAAAAAAAAAAA